AAAAAAAAATGGTGTCTGATCCCACCCGCATACTCCACCCAGAATCCCAGCTTCTACCTTCTGGTAGAAGATTCAGAGTTCCCAAGAGCAGGCTGAACCACTATAAGCACTCATTCCTACCTATGTCTATTAAGCTTCTTAACATTCACATGAAATTAAATGTAGTCAAATGTAATGAAATGTACTTTTTAAATGATGGCCATGAGGGTTGTGCAATAGGCCGCCATTGTCAGTATGTGCGTCTATGTATTGTGTTTGTTCAAACGGTGTATGACTGATGATATGTGTATGTCTCTTAATGTCCACTATGTTTGTATATGTACATGTATGCGGAACTGCAGGACGGAGTCCAGAAGAAATGTCCTTACGGGGACAATAAAGTATATCGTACATCATACATGTACTTTGCTGATTGAAGTGACCTGCAGATTATAGGGTAAACAACCCAAACCTCAAATACATTTCGACCACTAGAGGTCTTCATTTACACAAGGGAAGGGAAGGGAAGTTTGCATTTAAGTGATAACAAAATAGTGATGTGATGGTTTAGTCTTTTCTTAATCTAACTATAAACACATAAGTCCCTTGTTTACTTTAGCAACAGCAACATCATGCATACAAGGAGAGTGTGTGTTGGATAGTCAAGTGCATGTTGTACCTGCATGTGCTTTGTCCCCTTCCTCTGTAAACACTTGTACTTTTTCTGCATAAAAAGATTCAATATATAAAGCACACATTCAAGAAACATTTCACATAAGACAGAAACAGATACAAGATAAAGAACATGATAAACCATTAGAAGAAAGGAGTACAAATTAATTAAACAAAATAATATTTGAGCCTCTAACGATATTCAGAGAAGTTAACTGTATAAAGTGAAAAATATGTCTATGGTACAAATGATGAACACACATTCAGTAAAGGGTTGTTTCATATGTTTTGAATATCTTAATAGGTATTTAAAACAATAGGTTGATTTAAAAATAAATAATTAGACATACAGTATACCCTAACACAGGCATATATTTTGTTTTGGGGAGAGCATTAATTGTATTCAGGCAATTAACAACCAAATTGCACATTGCTGGTTTAGCTGTAGCCATAAACATTGGTGGCAATATTTAAGAATTGGATTTTGACAGATACAATTCACATTTATTTGGACATACGAACAAACCAATACAAAGTGTGCTTTATGTTATTGTTCATTTTAGAGCAGTGAGGTACAACAGCAGTGTCAGTGATCTCCTGGCTCACCTTCTGGGTATTTGCAGACGTAGTTGTTCTTGGAGTTGCAGTTGTCATCGTTCCACTGGAAAAGGAAATGCCCTTCTTCGTCGGGCGGTGCAGAGGGCTGGTAGTGCAGAACCACACACATTTCAAAACCACACGATGGCTCATCCCAATGCCAGTTCCTATAGAAAAAATGATGCAAAGGTTCAGACATGTACCACTATTAAATTGCAGAACTCGCATTATAGCATACAGAGTTTTGACTCTGTATATGTCATTCCAAAATTCTTTCAAAGGACTGCAGACATTCCATCACTCCCACACGCATGACTTTATCCAATAACCTTTTAAATCAGAACTGACTGCAGCCTTTTTTTTACCGATATTTTCTAGTGTTCTGTGTCCCTGAAGATCCCTCATACAATTTCCACTGATGCACGCAAAACATTCATACATAAATAGTGAGAGGGTTTTAAAAAAAGAAAGAAAAAGACCTGAACTTGGCCTTGCTTCCATCCAGCCAATAGTACTGCGAGGGGCACCCTGGGCTTGTGCTCCCGGGCCTGTACCGCTGTGGGCTGCGGCGGAGGCCAATCCAGAAGTCTCCATCTCCAGCCTGCAGCTGCTCTATGAACCTCTCCATCAGGCGCTGCTCGCTTTCTGTTTCAATGCTGAGCAAGTCTCCTCCATCCGACCTGCAGGCCTGCCTGGCATCCTCAAAGGTCAGCCTCCGCCTGCTCTCCTGGATGTAGGACACCTTGTAGCATGGACGCTCTGTCCCGCGCCGACAGATCCTCTGGCCTGAACACCACAGACAAAATAGGGAACATGACAAGATGATTAGTAAAGGATATTTTTGTTTTCTGAGGACTTCCTTACGTGGCAGGAAGATAATCAACAACCTACAACAAGACAGATAAGGAACCAGAGATGTTTGCCAAAGTGTTCCCACACTTTTCTGCAGCGTGGGTAGAGTAAACATGGTAGTGCAATTACAGTGTAAAAGCTATATTTTTAAGGGCTGGAAAAAGACGTGTTGTTTTCTTCGTTATTGGTTTTGTGCCATTTAAAACAGTTTGGATGTAGTACTGTTAAACTCTGACATGTTTTAAATATACTTAGATTCTGACCACGTCAAATGCAGTGGTTTGCTGAGGGGGAACTCAGAACTGAAGTTTGTTGTCTGAATGGCTCATATCACATGTAGTGTTCAGTTGATAGACATGAGTTGACGATGATGAGAAGTGCTTCTAATGTTACTTTTGCAGAGAGAGCCAACATAAACAACCAATACAATAATGACAAATATCTCAGACTTTTATCATTTTTATGTCAACCTTAAAACATTGAAAAACAGTGCTCTGAATAAATTTGGGCGTCAGATGCCTAATTTTGTAGTTAGAAGGGACATCTTTGTGGCTGTTAATATCATAGTCAGTAGCATAATCATTTGTAAAGTAGTCTTAACATTTAAAGTAGAAAAACTGCGACATCTGTGATCTGAATCCCAAACACCCTGCTGATGTTCATTTTCCACAACATCACGTGCTGCTGTGTGACTGCAGTCTGTTTATCGTTATAACTCACATCATACTGCTTTAGGCTTCTTTACGATGGTTCTGGTATCAACCTCGTTACTTTAAACTACTTTTTAAAGAATAAGAAAGTATAATGTTGGATTCCTCTCAACAATGCAAAGCGTCGTTCAGCACTGCATGCAAACTTCAAAGACAAAAAAACACGTTCTCTGTAAAAAAACAAGATGACGAAGTCTTAACTTGGAAATAAAACATACCGTAATACACTTTCAATAAAGTTTAAAAGTGTTGTGTCTTTGCTCCGAAGTGAATTCTTACCATTTATTTTGGACGAGGATCCAGGGTAGAACAAAACGGCGATAACGGTGCCAAACAGCTTCATAAAATCCATTGCTACATGTTCACCCGAATGTGTAGCACACTTAGTGTTACAATCAAGGGTAGCTGAGTTTTTAACGAGTTTAGCGTTATATTTGCATGTAAACAGGCTAAAGATAGAGGCAGCAGAGTAGTCTAGTCTGTCCAGTCAGAAGTGGGGTGACTACTAGTGGAGGCGTGCATATGGCGTCTGGCTGGGAGGAAAAAAAACAAGAGTGACATTGTCCAAGATTTTAGCTTTGAACAGAAAGTAGGCTTTTGTGGATTTTCAGTGGTTCTTTACCCTCTATGTAAACTCAAACCACAAAAGTATGAATTTGTACAGCCTGTGTATTTTTCCTAATTAGGAAAATCCCATTTCACATGTAGTAATGTCATTATGGTATGAATAGAGTACCTTGTTCCAAACATGCATCATGCTTCCTGTATTAAAATAAACAATAAGTATCTGTCTTACACACACACACACACACACACACACACACACACACACACACACACACACACACACACACACACACACACACACACACACACACACACACACACACAGATTAAGTGCTGTCTGGGGAAAAGAGCCCAGAGGAGAAAATGAAGCGAGGAATCAGAAACAGACACAAGGTCAATACAATAATGGTGCGTTTCTAAAGGCAGAACTACATGCTTCCCTTTTTTCTGGTGAAAATACTCATCTCATGTGATGTGAGTTTAGCAGCACTTTAGCAGCACTATAACAACATGTCTGTAGTGCATGTCTTAGTGTAAGTGTTAAAAAGCACACACTGAAAACACAGAGACAGACGCAGCAAGGACAAAAAGTGACATGGGAACAGAGAGATTAAGAGGAGGAGAGAGAAAGATTTGAACAGGAATGCAACCAGAGAAGGAAGCGGAAAGGTTGGTTTTTTTCAGAACCATGCTTCCTGTTCATTGCTTTGGTTTAGTTTCCAGGCAATGCTGCTTCATTTCCAAAATATGTGTGATTGGGAAACTTTGGAACATGGGTTACGTAACAAAAATATGGATTTTACACTGCCTATCAAAAATATGAGAGTAAATCAGAGTCAGAGTAAAAGACTGGAAGACTGTCAGGTTAAATATCGGCCTGCTTCAGTTACTGTTGACTATTATGTTTTTGTCAGCAGCACCACATTACAATACTGAGATACACATGTGTTTATGCTATGGTGTCACACAATGATGGATGAATGATCAAATATTTCAAAAATGTCAGAGGCACACAATTCTAGACTTGTAACAGTAACAGAAGTCAGCTATAATCCCGCCACAACCTGCAGTTTATCCTCATCTTGTGTTGTATAATTTATAACAACATCCACCAACAGATGACCTTGGAAGGAGAGTAATAAACACCAGCTCCTCTCCATGGAGAGCCGAGACGACTGACAATCACAGGCTGTTTATTTGTCTGCAGTTTACCTCGCTTCAGGCCATCTGTCTATCTGTTTTCTTTTCTGCTTTTAACACAAGGAGGTGCGACATGCGTCTTCTTTTTATCAGACTGAGCCTCCGGATGCTCGTCACGAGTGACCTTGAATTGTTTTTCCTTGTTTTGGTCTATCAAAGTCACTCAAGTTTGTTAAACTAAGTGTAGATTTATGCAAATACTTCTCATGTGATGAAGAGCTGTGTCCTGTCTTAAAGATTATCTGTCCTAATCAGGAATGTACCACAGATCATTTCACAGCATGACCTTGACAGTAATGTTAAACTGCGTATCCAGATGTTGTCGTAAACATTTTTAATGTGGCTTATGCATTTGAAAAAATGCATCAACAACCACAGTGGCCATAAAAATTAAAAAGGTAGCCATTTAGAAATAGCCCACTGAGCAATAATGGCAGTTGGAAGGTCTTTTTGTAGAGAGGCACATCCCTTCAGGACTGACACATTGTCAGATAAACACGCTCAGATACCCTGAGGCAAAAATTAATTTGCCTGCAAGCCCATACTCTCTGTGAAATGCAAGCAGGTCTTTTATATTAGTAAAGTAAACAACGTTAGTTAAAAAATTAGAGCTTCCTCAAACTATATTTCGACAAGGAAACCTTCTTCCAGAACGTCAATATATGGATTTTGATCAACATTAAAGCCAATATATCATTAGTTGATACTACACTTAAAAGGGGTATATTTCTTCTGGTAAATTGGTAATCCAGATTTGGTATTTGGTGTGATTTCTTGATTCAATGTATACATATTTATTTGTTTATTTGTTTATTCCACATTATTTGTGCTTTTTCTTGTTTACTGGAATGGATATATAGAAACAATGGCTGTCATTGTTCAATAAGAAGGATGTTGTGTCTCTTTTTGGTTGCACTCAGCAACCCCGATGAATCACGAGTCCCATCACACGCAGAGCACAAGGCAATTGAGCTCTTTTTAATTTTGGCCAGCAGATGACACCAAACACCTGATCAAATGGGGCAACAAGAAGCAACTCCCATTCGCTTCGAAATTCGTTTTTGTTGAATGACACCAGTGGTACATTTACCCAAGTATTTAATTTACGTATACTCCACACTATTTTAGAGGGAAATATTTCCCAATCCCTTGAAACAGTGACAGTTTATGAAACATCATGGTCTTGCTGTGGCTCCTTGTCTTTTTCAAGTTGTTCCACCAAAGATATATTTTTCCTTTTAATTTATTTAATGTTTTTTTATATTTACATAACTGCCTTAAACATCCAGTATTTATTAAAAAAAATAAAGAATGACAAACTTCAGTTGCAGGTCTTTTTTCCCCTCCCCACGTCAAGACCCCTCTGATTTGTCTTGGGTCACTACTGAGGGACGCGGCAACTATGTTAGAAACTAATGGAAATACCTGACTACTTTCTGTAGAGTAGCAACAGCTATAACACTATCCCATGCATCAGTATTACCAATCAAATGTGGTCAATTATGAAAACAGTCTCAGGGGACATTGTTCTGCATAATGCATAACTTTAAATATATTTAGATTATGATACTTTAGTACTTTGTCTTTTACTTTGAAGCTATTTTAAGTTTTTTTCCGATGCAAGACTCTTAATTGTAGTATCGTTCACAGCGCTGTTTTGGAGAAAAGTATATGAGAGCAATATGTCATGAGAGGAATATTTTTTGGCAAATAATTGTTTCACATTAAAAAAAACTCCCCCAACTTTGGAGTCCTGCAACTTTTCATAATGTGCCATTCTTTCTTTTTTTTTTACTATTCAATTCAAATCTAATCATCTGCCTTACTATACTATACATGCTGAGAGAGTACAGTATAATGTCATCCAAACCTTCCCAGTATATCTTCTTTCTTACTAAACTACATAGGTGTCCTGCCCTGGGCCCGTTTTTCATTGTTTTCTAATGTGATTGTATGCCAGCGACCATTTCTCCTCTTTGTAAAATGATCCAGTAGAGATGCACAGTCCTTGTTGTAGCCCACTGGCAGCCTGCTCTATCTAACGTTGACTGCCCTAAAGTTAACGTACACTTTATGCTTAATCTGAAGAAGGGACATTCTCCCAATCATTGATACAAAATCCCTATAGTTGGAGATACATGTTTTTATAATTAGAGAGTGACAAAATGCCACATGCTGTAAAATAAAATGTGCTGTAAGATGTTTACATGATTATATATCAATGGTTTGTTAAATCCATCGACCCAACAGTTTAGCATTATTTTCAGATATCTCCATCCAGACATTGTGTCTGGCTATGCATGCAGGGGGATTACAGCAACATGAAACGAAGTATGGGATTAGAGTTAATAAGAGAAGCCGACCATTAATTTCCAAACAGGTGTCCTGGGAGGAAAGATCCTTGAACACAGACGAGGACCGAAGAGAATGTAAAAGTGACGCATCTGTGGATAGTGTAACAAATGTCTTCTCTCACCAGGGGCACAAAAACATGGATGCTCCTTTTTCACATGTCTGAGTGACAATGGCGCCTTTCAGTAGAGAGGCAACAGTTGAGGCCTATAGCTGTATACATTACGTGTAATGCAGTTCTATGGAGACAAAAGGGGTGATGTTTGTCATGCAAAGGAAAGAAAATAAGGTTAATCCTGGCAGGCTAAGGACTTCATCGCTTGTGGCGAACATGATCACCTTTCAAGCATTCAAGGTGTTTTATTCTCAAAAAAACAATTTGTTCTATTCGTGACAGTGAGTCTTTGCTCAAGGATTTTGGAAAATGCACTTGTTTTTTGGTGCAATGTGGTAGATTTGTAACTTATATGTAATGATGTACAGTATCTCAGTTATTCATTACAGAAGATATCAATACAGTGTAATTAGGAAAAGCATAAATGGTGTTCATGTATTCTCATCTGCAGGTTTGAGGTTAAGTTAGTGAAATGTGGATGAAATTTGATCATGTCTAATTATTAGGTTGATAGTTTCAAAATACATTTCCTTTTTCTGAATTTCAAAGTGTATGTACTAGGTATGTACATAGCTTTTATGGTTATATGATTTTAGGTTAAGCACATAGCCAGCAGCTATAACGTTCCCTCTCAATAGTCATTTTTTAAGCGAGAAACCTAAAACAGCAGTTGTACAGTAGTTACCCTGAGTGATCTGTATCAAATCCCACTGACACTTTAATCTGCTCGGTTTAAATCTGACAGCAAACGCTGCCAGAAGCTGCTGCTGTCTAAATCAGGAGTCACAGAAACATGGATTGTGTGTGTGTGTGTGTGTGTGTGTGTGTGTGTGTGTGTGTGTGTGTGTGTGTGTGTGTGTGTGTGTGTGTGTGTGTGTGTGTGTGTGTTTGTTCAAAAGGGTATATAATTAGATGAAGGGAGGGCTTGATAGTCCCACCTCTATGGTTTTAGGTGTCTTGAGGATGTCACATACTATAAAAGCCACACTGCACAGCTCCTTATGTGACACCTGCTCAGGTACCAGCTAACGTAAGATCAGCTCTCTATACTTACACCACCAATTTGTGTTTTGCTAAATGATCCCTTTTGTGTTTTTGATCTGACTCAGTTGTTAATGTTACTTTATTGTTTTCATTGTTGTTGATATTGATTTCTTCTTTATTTATATAGGATTTATTGATCTGACTGACCCTGCTCCAGACAGCATGAGTCACTATCTTTGTCTCCCTCTGCTGGTTGTGCTCCTGCAGCCAGCTGTGTGTCTCAACAACTGCTCGTCTGACTACCAGAGGATCCCCGGTAGGCTGAATATCTCTTTCACTGAGCCAGATAGTTTGGTTTTAACGTGCATTATGTACAAATTAGAACAGACGGTGTTAAGTAACAATCACGAAATGAGAAAATTACCTATTCGTCCTGCTCAATGTAACATTTATGTTCCTCATCTCTGTCTCTGCATCAGCAACTGTATTATAATCTTCATTTCCCCTTTGATTCAAAATGGGAAAAAAATCACACATAATTAAATAATTCTTGGTCTTTTTTCTTTTTTACTTTTCTTACGTAGACAATTCAGACATGACAGTTGAATGTGGGGCCAGAATGATCACGCTAGAGATCAACCTGTGCACAGCTCAGTGGGCAGGCTTCAACACCACAGACCTGGCTCTGAACGGGAAGCACAACACCACCGAGTGCCAGGGCACCATCGACAACAGTGTGGACCCTGCAGTTATCCGTTACAAGCTTCCTGTTAACGACAGTCAGGAGAACCCCTGCCGCCAGTCTCTGCAGGTCAGAAGGTCTCTAGTATAGGACGTTGAATATTGTTAAATTACTGGACAAATAGTAATACTACTGCAACAGGGATTTAAAGATACATATCACTTTATTAAGAATGATGTTGCAGTTTATTGGACTATATTACAATTGTGTTTCTGCAGATTGTGGATGAGGCTCCGGACCCCTCAGGTCCCTTCAGCAGCTTTTCAAGTATCCAGTCAGTTATCATTACCGGGTTCATTGACACACCCCGAACTGACCTGGGGCTGATCAGCTACTCCACAGACCTCTACTATCACTTCTCCTGCCGATACCCGCTGGAATACCTGATCAACAACACACAGATTGTGGCGTGAGTAACTTACCATCTTAAAAAAGTGTTGTTAATATACCTTATCACTTTAGCTTGAGACATATATCATAAACACAGCCATTTCTTTCAATGATTTTTCAGCTCCTCAGTGTCTGTTGCGACCAGCGATAACAATGGAACCTTCATTGATACACTTAAAATGAGTGTTTTTAATGTAAGTTGGCATTTAATGGCCTTAGACAAACTCTACTCTGCTATAAACATATTTCACTTGATGTATTTCACTCTAACATCTTATTTTTCCAGGACTCAGACAATATCTACCCTTTAGTAGTACCTTCGACAGGACTTGAGCTCCGAACCAGGATCCATGTGGAGGTCAAGGCAGTTAACCTCACAGGAACGTAAGTGACAGATTACTGGACGCACAGAGTGAATGTGCTTATCAGAAAAACGGATAGTGAAATAAAAATGGGAAAATTGTTTTCTTGTAGCAAACAGTACTTCATTGGCCCACTGTCCTTATTTCAGTTTCTATATACTGCTGGATCACTGCTTTGGCACTCCCACTGCTTACAACATGTCGAACAGTGAGCAGCACAACTTCTTCACCGGGTATGGACGCACGTGCATCATTAGTGTAAATTCTGCTATATGCATGGGGAAATAATCTAAACTCCACATCTATTTTTTTTTTTAAATATAAAGTGTATCTAAATAATCTCCATACTCTCCACAAGCTGTTCATTGGACCAAAGGACATCTGTGACAAGCAATGGCCTTTCCAAGGTCGCCCGCTTTAACTTCGAGGCCTTCCGCTTTGTTCAGCACCGCGACCAGGCAAAGTCCAGCATCTATCTGCACTGCATACTAAGACTCTGTGAACCAAGCAAATGCCAAGAGCTGTTGTCTGTAAGTTGAGAAGTCAAGAACAAATGACTTTGCTTTAAAGACATGAGAAGTTAATGCTAAATCAGCTTTCAAAGGCTAGCCAAAACTATATTATAGGATAAAGATTTGAAGTATAGAATTGACCTGTTTTTTGCATCTTGGTAATGAAAGAAATAGATATAAAGATAAAAAAAGATTTTTTGTTTTATCTGTAGTGTTGAAGAAACAGTAAAAGTATAGGTGACAGGAAATGTACGGAAAGACAGGAAACTGCAACCAAGTTTATTGAGTCAAATTGTTTTGGGGAAATTCTGACTGATGGTTGGCACCTTTTTTGAATCCCGGGCCACCAGGTAACCCACATTTGCCTTTAAAGTGAATATTTTACAATTTGACCATAAAAAACAAAACACGTGTTATTTCTAACATCTACATTTTGCATAGAGAAGCCATACTTTGACACTATATGAAATGGATTAAACTAAACCCAAATGCACGTGTGTTGTTTTTCAGGCCTGTAATGTCAGAAGAAAAAGGTCTGTGACTCCTTATGGGAAAGAAAGCAGTGAATCTGCAACTATTTCAGTTGGACCTCTTTACACTGGCAGAGAAGGTAAGTCCCTGCAAACACAATACTATTATTATTAAATTATTATTATTATTATTATTATTATTATTATTATTATAATATGTTATATAGTAAATATATATATATATATATATTATATAGTAAATATATATAGTAAACAATGATAACACGTTTTTTCTTAATTACCCTTTTTTATTTACCCCTTCTAAAGAGAGGCAAAATGCAGCTGCATACAGTGAGTATATTGTAATCAAATGAACCACTAGAAATACATGTTCTTATCTTGAATGTGTATAACTCATAAAGAAATCCCAATGATCTGCATCTGTGTGCATCAGGTTCTGACGTGGCATCAGAGAGGGATGAAGTGAACGTGACTGGCCTGGTGGTAGGAGTTGTGTTCGGCTCTGCAGCTAGTGCCTTGCTGGTTCTGGGCGGCTGGTTCGCCCTGAAGAAGTTTTATTGGGCAGGAGGATTACCTCGTGCTTTTAACTGACAGACATCAGGCAAATTGTCTTCTCCTTGTCACCTCATACTATATTGTGACTTATTCTGAGAACCAAGTATCTGATAATGTTATGATTTGTCGGTAATAATGTTCTTGTCAGGTGACCTTTGGAACTAGGGAAAAAGATTAGTATTTTATATCACTTCTTCTGTATATACTTGATGCATCTGCACTCATGTATCAGTTAGGAAGGAACAGGCAAATCAGAACTGTCTAAAAGAAGAAACATGAAATATGGAAGTCATTTCAGAACAAAGTCATTTTAATATTTTATGTTTTTCTACATTTGTTTGATACTAGCCTGTAGGTCTTGTCGTAAAAAATGTTTGCATGTACAAAATCTTATGTTTTATAAAGTATATATAAAAAAAACACAGGGGGCACATTATAATCTGCAGTATATAGGTCATATCTGTTTTGATAATATTACAAATAAAAGTCAAATCATGTTGGCGTTGCATTCTGTGGTTGACATTACATTGCACAGTAAACATATTTACAAACTAATTCACATACAGAATGAAACCAATACATCAATCAAAACCAAACACTCATAAATATTTACAATCATCTTACTGTGCTGGTACAGTAGCAAACAACAACCAAAATAATGGTTAACAACTAACACTTTAGGACAAGTATAATTCTAACTATCTGCATGTAAAAGCCCAACTTGGCAAGAGTTGAACATTTGCCAAAAGCTATACACTGTGTGGCAGAACAACAGTTCTTGCTCTGAAATAAAATATATCAAATTGCATAATAGATATTGTAAAAAATGAACTAAAATTCAATTATTCACATTATACACTTTCATAAGATAATAACAGCAGTTTATTGGCATTTTTATTATAAAAAATATGACTATCACTACACTGACTGCAGAATGTCTTCAAGCAGAGCAGAAAGTTTAACTGAGAAGTCCTCCTGCAAATGTCCAGCTGTCTGTGCAGACGATGAAGAAGAAGAAGAAAAAGAAGAAGAAGGAGACAGTCTTGTGCCTCCTCTGACCTCCAACTCATCTTCCAGCCCTTTAAACAGCCTCTCCATCCGGGCCGGAAACATTTGGCTCTGCAAGCCTGCATTTTGGCAGAAGCGCTCCATACTGGCTGTCAATTCCGCCTTACCGGGCCGTGAAGTTCCTAGCAGAGCAGCAAGCTCTGCTCTAAGAGCCCCCACCCTGTTCTGTGCCTCCACCCTCACAGAACTCACTTCCTGTCCCATACTGGAGCTAATTTCCAGCCAGTGGTCTGACTTTCCTGCCTCTCGCTCACTAGCACTGGTCTCTTTCAGATGGTTGATCACTTCAATGGTTTTAGTATGGAAGTCACTGATGAGGTCAGCGACCTTAGAGCTGCTGTGCTCCAGCGTTAGGCTCATCCAGTGGAAGGCTTCCTGGTACAAAGCCGGAGTGGCCTCTGCCTGAGCCTCAGCTGCCTCCAGACCCTGCAGATAGAGGCTCAGATGGCCACACAGGTCTTGGGTGCTGCTGCTTAGAGAGCTCTGGAGCTGCTGGATGAGGGGTGCCAAGCGCTCCCTCATGCTGGCTAGGGGGGAGCTGAGGTGGCCCGAAGAGTGGGACAACCTCTCTCGCAGTTCGGCCAGCTCTTGGCGCAGACGGGTACGCAGACGCTCCGACTCAAGGTTGAGTTTGTGCTGCATCTCCTCTACCACAGGGTTTTTGCTCTGATCATCATGGTTGTAAAGGCCAATGCTGTCTATGTGGCTCTTGTATATTTTACTGAGCAAAGAGAGACAAAAGTACAACATTAATAAGGGTTTACATTTGTATTATCTTTAAATATATTACCATGACTTGAGCGTATGGCTTCAAATGAATTTTAAGGTCTTAGATTAGTTTACAGTACTTAGTTCAGTCAACTTACTCAACATCTTTTGTGAATTCAGTCTTGTCTTGAGACTGGTTGTCTTTTAAATCAGTCAAGGGTGCCTCCCTGGTGTGACGGTGGAGAGGGTATGCTGAAGACAAAGAAAACATACATTAAAAAAATGAATACATTGCTAAATAAGGGCTTTTGTAAACAGTATTTAAAGATAAATGTATACCTGTAATTGCAAAGGACGATAGAGCGAAGATCACAACTTTTAGATGCATGTTTATCTTTCTGTGGAGGAACAGAAGATAAAAAAAACTTTACATACCATTTTATATTAGAACAAACATAAACATTTCCAGATTAAATAATGATATATGATTCATTGTATGTACATTCCCTGTTGGGTCTAAGACAGAAGACAAGCGAAAGACTAATATGTGAAAAAGTGGCTGGCCTTTACCTGAGGATCTAGGTCTGCAGGGGGACGTCTTCTCTCGTCTGACTTATAAAGGTCCTTGTTATCAGAGCATCAGCCCAAACTGCCTGTGTCAACAGGCAACACGTGGAGGGTCAGACTAATGGCAGAACACAACACAACACCACTCTCTCACACACTCACTCACTCTCTCACACACACACACACACACACACACACACACACACACACACACACACACACACACACACACACACACACACACACACACACACACACACACACACACATCCACGTTTGAACCTGCATAAAACTAACCAACTTATTGAGTCTTGAATGACATTTCTGCATTTGCCTGCATAGTTAATGAATACAAAATGAATAGTATTGTTTGGTATTACAAATAATTTCCCATCTGTCAACACTCTGTATTTCAGCAACTAGTAGAGTTTTTCTGAATGCGATGTGGAGGATTTTGTGCACCAGTGACATGGAAATGTGGGTGAAAGTTGAACTGTGTTTAGTTAGATAACTTACGAGACGTCATTAAAGGATCAAAGTCCATGGCTACCGTGATGAAAGAGTTATTCCGCTTATCTAAAGTCCAACTTTATTTCAATACAATAACAAAGTGAGTAAGACTTTGGTTACTGTACATAAAAACAGCACTGTTGGCTACAGTTAACTGTAGAACAGTTTGCCATGCTGACATATTGTATGTTCCAACATAGACCTTGTTAGACACATGGATGCACATGCAGTAATAAGCAACACTAGTTGATGAAGACATTACTATAACTCTCAATCTTTTGAAATGATTGGACTGTTCGATATACTTTTTATGATAATAAGTTAGGGCTAGGTATCATATTCTATTTTAATTTGGAGTAAAGGGCAACAATCTTTCCTTGGTTGTTTTACACAGGTGTGCAGAGATTACCATCAGAGGAACTGTCTGCGGGTCAAAGGTTTACATAATAAAGAAAAAAACTTTACTTTTGTAAAATTGACAAAATTGTTTTTCCTTTAAACCAAACAAGTAACATATTTGTGCAAATGCAGGTTACTTACATAAGTAGAGTACATGAATAATTGTATTTTATATTACTGCATTTACACTTTCAGTTAACAGATAAAACCTTCATATGTTGCTGTATATTAAAGGTCAGTTATGGGTCAAACCGACCCTGACTCTTATTACCATCAAGTAAAACACAAAGACCAACAGTATAAATATTCAATATGTGAAGTGAAGTTTAGAGTGGCATCTGGTTTGCATAGTCAGGTACTGAATCTGAGCTTGATATGTGGATTTCAATGTGAATAGGCTGCTGTGATGCACAAACTGCTGAGTAGACTCCTATAAAGCAAAGCTGCGTTGATGTACATTGGAAGCCAAATCTTTAATCAGTTTCATGGTAGGATTTAGAAGAACAAATGCCGTAATGTGACCCTGCAGCACCAGGCAGCCCTACTCTCTGTTTTCCCGGCTACTTTTCATCAGCATTCAGTCCGTTCACTGTCACTGTCACCTTACCTCGCAGGCCTCATAAATCATTCAGCATGCCATTGAAAGTTATGCAGACAAACTCTCCTACTGCACGTGTGCTGCATTACAAGCAGACAGGAGAGGTTTATCAAGGGAGTGAAGTTTTAACAGCATCTCCAAAACGACTTTATTGGCTATGACTCAAACAAGGCAGGCAACCAAGACACTTTTTACAGATCCTGGATGAAAAATGTAAACACTTCTCCCTGAGTCTGGAAAAAAAAACGTAGTTTACTTGTGGACTGGTCCTTTAATTCTGCAGGTGGACATATTAACCATGGTGAGGAGATGCGACAAGAGCTTCAGGTGTGTGTGGTGGCTGAGTGCTTTGGTTCTTACTCTGGTTCATGGAAACAACTTGAGCCAACAGGTCCAGGAGAGGCCACCCTGCCAGCAAGGTAGGCTATCTTGACACACATTCAGCTTTGGATGACATGACAAAAAATCAGATAAACATTACATTATGTTTCTGCATATGCTTAGCCACTTTTTTTTAAACAAGTTTTGTGACAACACTGACTTTGATGTTAACCTGCACACTTCTTTGTATGTATTTTATTATTTCCAATAGGTTTTTACTGCCCCTTGGGGAGCTTCACTCCACTCCCCTGTCCCAAGGGAACCTATGGACCAGCAGCTGATGCTGTGTCCATAGAAAGCTGTCTTAAGTGTCCTCCTCAACACTACTCTCCCAGACCAGGCATGTCTGCCTCCCTGCCCTGTGGCCCTGTGGCTCAGCAGTCTCTGTCTGGTCAGGACACTTGCATCTGCTTGGGAGAAGGACAGACTTTCCAGGTGACAAAGACGTTTCACACAATTGTAGGATCAACCCATTCATTGCCCAACAAATTAGTTTACATTTTTTACATCAACACAGCCAACTACAATACAAATGACCAACTTTGGTCTTTTGCCCTGCAGTATCCTTCTTTATTCTATAAACTTGAAGAAAAACTTAAATTTCTCAACCTTTATTTTGATAAATTGCTCACTTCAATATGAAAGTAGCTTTCTCACTGAGAAAACATTACACTGTACAATCTCTAGCTTCAAGCTGAAAGAGCTCTAGATCAAGTTCCCTTGCAGTAGAGTCAGGTTTCCTATTCTGTTGGAACTTGCAAAGCCCTTTACTCATCGACTCATAATAAGAATGAGATTTTTTCACACTATTGCAAGGGTAAAGATGCAAGAACTAAATACATAACAAATAAAAATAAATGAACGAATGGTGAAAGAAAGGAAACAAATTAAAACTTTAGACTTCATGAAATAGTAAAAAGCAAAGCGTTCAAAATTGAAGGTTAAATACTGCGCATGATCAGTCAGACTCGTTTTTTCTTCTCCTTAATTTTTTAATGGCAGCTAGCTCTGTAGCCTCTGTTGCTACCTGGTAGTTTTTCAGTAAGCTTCACTCAAAACACTAATTACATTGTTTTACAAATGTTCCAACAACTGCTACTTAGACCAGTAAGAAGTACATGATGATAAGAGTAAAGTTCACTGATGTAAAAGTCAGTACAGCTATATAACCGGATTAGCATAACAGAGTTAACAGCCTGACCAAACTGAAATGCCTTCCACATAATACACTTTGTTTTAACCTTGCCTCCTTTTATGCAGACCAGTGACGGGCTTTGCCACTGCACCATCGGCTACCAACCTGCTAACAACGGAGATGTGTGTGCACAGAAACAGTACGACGTCTGCAGCGATGGAAAAACTCGTTCACAGTATGGAAACTGTATGGACAGATATCAGTGGTCTCTTCACTGCATGCAGCAGGTTAGACTTTTTGCAATTATGTATCACAGTTAGACGTACAAACTAAAGTAGAGCAGAAGTAAATCGTGTAATTCACTTACTAATACTTAACCCAAATATCTGTCTGAATGATATTTGAGGGTTTTGATAGACTGTAAAGTAATCTGTTTACAGGACACACTGACGAAATATACTCCACAATCACTGACAGCGAGGCTAATGAGAACAACCTAGATGTCTTTGCCCTTTCCTCTATGAACTTGAAAAATACTTTATCAAGCTTGTTTTAGTCCCACTTAATATTTAACCACAAAGTGCTTCCTATGACTGTTCCTGTGCAAGGCCTTCACTTTTCTCATCATGCAGTGTTTATTTTTGTCCCTGCGGTCCATAGCAGACTTTGGTACAAATGACCTTCCACCTATATACTCACTTATACTTAGCGTACATTGAGAATACTGCCACTAAAATGAATTTAAATAATACAACACGCAGAAAAAGCTGGTACAAGCAGATCAATTATATAAGATTAATTTAAAAAAGAAGTAGAGTTGTTTAAATCCCAACATTGCTTTCCTGCAGGTGTGTCAATCTGCAGAAGACTACAGGGGTTATGATGGAGAGCTGGGTCTGTGTGTTTGCAAAGAGCCTCCTGGAAGAGCTCCGTGTGGAGGCCTTTGTAGGAGAAGGCCAGCTACTGAACTGGAGTTACTATGCCGGACAAATGGAGAAATGGAGCTGGTGTGGAGTTATGGCCACCAGGTGAGGAATAGAAGCATCAAATAGATAAAGACACACACAGAGGAACATTTCCAAGCACTAAGGAAGGAAATACAATGGGAACGTGTGCTTTTTAGTATTTTTTGGGAATGCAATTGAACCTCCTGTATCCAAAAATTGTTCTTCATGTTATCCATACAGTATTTCCATTAAATAAACATAAAGAATAGTTTAAGTAACATTATCTGGTCAGACCATATGAACTAAACCTTTACACAAAACAGGCATTATCACACCAGAAGTGGAAGCGCAGGACAAGCGTCTTTTGTGTTGCAGTGATCTATTAATTGCAAACGCTGTTCTTTCAGGTGATGGGTGTTTCAGGCAAGCTGCAGGAGACGTTTCTTAAACACTCAGACTCTGATGGAACTCTGTGCAACAGCCATATCAGCTCCTCACATGCTGTCTACATTGTTCAGACAACAGGTAGAGACACAAATTGGCTTTCTGGGTATCTCTCTATCGCTCTTCCCGTTCATCTCCTACATCTTTCTCTCCTTTGTTGTCTGATTGCAGAGGCGGGTTTTCTCGGCCTCCTCAGCGGCCTCCCAAAGGAACTTCAGCGACTGTTTACTGTTACCACAGAGAGGAATGCGGAGCTGAACACTCAGAGCTCAGCTGGTTTGTCACTGCAAAACCATAACTTCTGATGAATAAAACACAAATTAAAATGAATAATCCATGATGAAAGTACTGCACTGTTGTTGTTTTATAGAAAGAGATGTTGATATCCTCTGGGAAGTCACTAAAGTTGAAAATATCAGTCATGAAGGAAGAGAAAACAATGGAAACAAGAGTGATGTCAAAGAAGAAATAAGAGAACTGAGTGTAACCGGAGTTTTGAACCCCACAACGTGTCTCAAGTTGGGCGATGTTATCCTGTTTACTGTTGACACACATCACTATCCTCAGTATGATCTGTAAGTCAGATGCCAGGCGAACAATAGTTTGATTTTCATGTCTATTTTTAACACTATGAAACAGTGCTTCGACTAAATCCTTACTACCTGTCTTTCAGTGACAATTTATACAACACAAACAGAGATTTTGACTGGGGGGCAGTTAGACGGCTGAAAGAAGAGCTGACTCTGTCCTGGACTCCTCCAAACTTCTTTGCGTTGGTCTTCAGCCAGGCCGGAGTATACGTTTTTACACTGAGCAGCCAACACCACAAACACATGGTAACTAAAATGAAATAATGAGGCAAGTTATCATGAGTAACACACAGTTAACTTTTTTGACGTTCAATATTCCTTACCAAATTTCATTTTGTATTCCAAACCGCTTTTCTGACTGCTTATTTTGTAGCTGTATCATAAACATAAGGCCTTTTTTGTAAGAAATTGAGATGATCATGTTACCACTTTACTCAAGGGCTTCCACATGCATTTGCTTGTTGAGAACTACTAATACACTTGTGTTCTCTTTTTACTCAGTATGTGCGGGTGATGCCAGCAGGTGGTCAGTGTTATGAGACCGGCCCCTTTTTCCCCACCATCCCTCGTCATGTGACCAGGCTGGGAATCAGTAAGAGACGCAACCTGTTACTAAGGCCTGATTGGCTGGTGACCGGAGGACTGCTATTTGGAGCTGTTGTCATCCTCTGTTTATGTGTGACACTGCTGGTTAGTGTACAAACACACATGATCACATGTTCAAAGTTGACCTTTTTCACATTCATCCCTTGATCCCATATTTAGATCCTGTTTCGTGAATATGGATGGCCTGAGAAGAAGCCAATCAAAGCGCGGTACCGCTTGTTGCAGCTGTCCTACAACATGGACGACTACTCATCAAAAGGCTCAAGGGTGATCTCACTTAGGAAGATTCACAGAAATCATCAAGCCAGAATGACACAGGACTCCATTCAACCAGGTGCAATAATACACACACACACATTCATTCACGCACAATTTCAAATGCACACACACACAAACACACATACTCTGAGCTAATTAATTGCACGCAAAATTCACACTATCTCTACCTAATCACAGAAACACACTGATATTGTGTTGGCCTTTGAAGACCCCTGTGGTCTCTTATATAACACTAACAGTGACCCCTGGCAGTTTATCCCACCCTACCAATTACGTTTGTGAAGTCGATTATGACATTCCTGATATCATTACATTACATTACATTGCATTTAGCTGACGCTTTTATCCAAAGCGACTTGCAATACAGTAAGTGCGTTCGACCAACAAAGTACAAACTTGATAAAACAGAATCATATAAGTACATCAGGTTTCATTGAGCTAAAACATTTCAAGTGCTACTCAACTGGCTTTAGATAAGCCAGTCCTTTATTAGTATATATAGTGCTTTGTTAATAGTTCTATCGTTCGAAGTGGAGTCGAAAGAGATGAGTTTTCAGTCTGCGCCGGAAGATGTGTAAGCTTTCTGCTGTCCTGATGTCAATGGGGAGCTCATTCCACCATTTTGGAGCCAGGATAGCAAACCCACGTGTTTTTGCTGATGGGAACTTGGGTAAGATAAGATAAGATAGTACTTTATTGATCCCAATTTGGGAAATGTTTTGTAAAAAGTGGCATTGTACAATTAAAATGAAAAGACACAAAATAAACAAGAAATGTTGAATTTACAATTTAACAATATATAAAGCAAGGTATTATATTTACATAAGTATGTGACAGATGGAATATTAAATATTAGACTGAATATATAAATGTAAAATGTACAGTGAAGAGAGAAGCTATGGAGCAGAGTTCTCTTCCAGCCAGAGGTGATTTGTCGTACAGTGTTATTGCAGTGAGCAGGAATGTTGTCCTGTATCGGTCCTTGTGACAGCGGAGCTGCAGCAGTCTGTTGGAGAAGGAGCTCCTGTCTGTCCAGGTGGAGAGGGGGGGTGGGGTTATCTGTCTGTCCAGCTGCAGGTGGAGAGGGTGGTGTTGTTGCAGTAGGCAACATACTTTATGTGACACAAGTCAGTATGATATTAATACAATTAAACAACATAAAAGTTGCACGTGTCAATATTTGTATATTAACAAACGATCCACTGGCAATGTGAGCAATATAAAGGGGTCAGTGGGAGTTATAAACACAGGCTCAACAGTTCTCCTCATGTCTACAGATCTCGAATAACTCAATTAGTTTATAGGTCTGATTTGTTCCTGCAGGACTTTGCAGCAGACAGCTGTTGTTGCCAAAAGAGCACTGGTTTACTGAATGGCTGTTACATTCCCAGCACTAAGTGGCAGAGAGCATTAAGCAGCTGAAGAGCCAGAGCTCACTCTCTAATGGAGTCACAAGCCTGTCCATTCCATTATTAGAAGAGATTAAACATGCCAATGTTTAATCAGTTTGTACTTTAGTCAAGCACTAACCAGTATATCAACAATGCTTAAAGTTGGGGTAGGTAAGTTTGAGAAACTGGCTCGAGATACACTTTTTGTTATATTCCATGGAATGCTCTTAACATCCCGATAGCAATGAATATCTTAAGTGCTTTGACAATAAATACATAAAAATATTTCATCTCTGGAAGCCGTAGCGCTGTAAAAAGCACGACCAATCATCTGAGCCGGCCCGGCTAAAATAACTGGATGGCCTACCTGCCTGTCAGCCTTCCATCTGTGCACAAACTTATCTCGTGCCCTCATTGGTCATGTGCGCGTTCGTGTGTGATGGAGGAGGGGCTCTGTAAGGAAGTCTGAAGGAAGGGGCCGATTTTTTCCGGCTGTGTATCTTCAAATTCTAGCGTACTCGAGCTGGTTTCTCCAAAATTACCTACCCCACCTTTAACGTGACTCTGTACTGTGAACATCTGCAGATCTGGAGTTCTTCTTACATACAAAATGTTTTACTGTCTTTCAGCTCGCTGTTTCTGTTTGTTTGTCCTGAAAATGTACTGTTTCATTAGGTCTCATCCCTCTCATTTATCTCTGTCCATTTGCTGCAGGTATTCTAAGAGAAACACCA